TTCGTTGAAGAGCCGTTGGCAGTTTAAAGTGCAATAGTCAATAGTTGAGTCCAGCGCTTCAATCTCGAAGGTTCAACGGCAGGTGCATTTGGCTTTTTTTGTCCCACAGGCCATGCTGGCACAGATGGATGCTGCAGATGATCCAGAGGCTGGCAGCCTAAAAAAAGTACAGGCAAACGCAACCAAAACGTTCTTTCCGCATGTTGCTTGCAGGAGGGAGCGTTTGTGTTTCGACTGCGCAAAGTCTCGAGGTTCTCAAAGAAGCTATCCGCCAAACACGCGTCTATACAGTGCTGGTGCTGGCATTGCACATCTGGATTGCGCATTTGGATGCGCACCCTTGATGCCAGCTTTGGGGATGCAGGCGGAGCACCTGGACAATGAGGTGGGCCCGAAAACGGTACTCCTGCAATGGATGCCGCCACACCTAGATCAAGCACAGAAGAATGTGTCGCTCACATCCATTCGTCAGCCGTACCATTTCCTCGAAGAGCCGCTGCCAGTAATGAGGGCAACGGTTGAGTCCAGCGCTGCAATCTGAAAGTCTCAAAGGCAGGTGCATTGGCAATGCGTTTGCCTCCTCTTGACCGACAGGCTATGCTGGCACAGCTGGACGCAGCAGACGATCCGCAGGCTGGCGGTGGGTTCTGTGTGGGCCGTGAGGGGTCGGGGCCTCATTGGGCTCGCATTACATACTCATCCATCCCTATACCAAACTCCATCAGGAGCAGCATGGTGCGGGCGTAAGGGCCGTGTGTCCCTTGTGTCCTGTGTGGGTGGTGGGGCCTCACTAAGCTCGCATTAAATACCTACCCATCCCTACCAGAATCCACATACGAGCGGTCGCTGGGCGGTGCGGGCATGTGAGGGCCAGGGTTGCTTTCCAGTGAAATTTGCGCTTGGATGCTTTTTGAGTGCAGCGAAGTCTGTCGTGGGCTGGGGTGCAGTTTGGGGAATTGGATCTGTTTTGGGCCTTCTACACGGGCCAGGTAGATGGATCTGTGGAAGAGGTGTTTCCGAGTGCAAGAGCTGTTGCGGTTGTGAATGCGTCGGGCCACTAGCGCAGGAGAAGCCAGCAGAACAAGTTCAGGAAGCTCTGCAGGCCATTGCCTTGCCTGGATGTCCTGCTGTTGTGCTGTAACAGTTTGCCGATTGGGGTTGTTTGTGCGGAGAAGAGCTGATCTGGCCAGGCACCCGTTGAGGCTCCCGAGGCTCCGCCTTTGCCATTCGGAGGAGAGACCGAGGCTGCTGCCGAGGCCGAGGGGATGCCTGAGGAGAAGGCTGTGCCTAAGGCCCTGGAGGTTGAAGCAACCGAGCCAAATTTCGAGGTCGCTGCCGAGGAGATGGCAGCTCCAGTGGCCTCTGCCGAAGAGCCAAAGGCTGAGCCGGCTGTTGAGGAACCCAAGGCAAAGCCGGCCGAAGCTCCAAAGACTGAGGAGCCGGCTGCGCAGCCAGCTGTGACTGAGCCTCAAGCTGAGGCTGCAGCCGAACCAGCTGCCCCTGAGGAGCTAAAGGTTGAGACCGCTGCGGAGCAAGCTGCTAACGAAGAGCCCAAGGCTGAGGCTGGCTTAGCAGCCGAACCAGCCCCTGTTGAGGCGCAAAAGGCCGAAGCTGTAGCCGAGCCAGCAGGCGCTGAAGAGCCGAAGGCCGAGGCTGCTCCCGGGCCAGCCGGTGGCGCTGAGCCAGCCGCTGCTGAGGAGCCTAAGGCTGAGGCTGCCGCCGAGCCAGCTGCTGCTGAGGAGTCGAAGGCCGAGGTTGCCGCTGATGCAGCTCTCGCCGAGCCAGCCGCTGCTGAAGAGCCAAAGGCCGAGGCTGCCCCCGAGCCAACCGCTGCTGAGGAGCCCAAGGCTGAGGCTGCCGCCGACGACCAAAACGTTCCTTCCTCATTGTGCTTGCAGGTGCGAGCGTTTGTGATCCGTACTTAACTGACAAACCATTCCCGAAGTTCTCAAGAAATCTAAGAACCCTTCTGCTTTCTGCGCTCAACACGTCCCTGTACAGTGCTGGCAATGCACATTTGGATGCATCTGGATGCGCACCATTGATGCCAGATTTGGGTATGCAGGCGGAGCGCCAGGAGAAGGAGGCTAGCTCCGAAGACGGCACTCCTCCAATTGAGGCTGCCGGAATTAGATCTAACGCTGGAGAACTTGTCGTTTACATCCATTTGTCAGCTGTGGCATTGAAGACCATTGAAGCACTTCCTCGAAGCGCCCCTGACAGTTGAAAGTGCAGCAGTTGGGTCCCCATTGAACATCCTTCAAAACCCGCGTATGTCATCTTGCTAAGAAACCTAACCAAGCTTTGCAAAAGCCTTATAGGGGATCCTTTCTCAACCATTTAATTGTAAAAGGTTCTAAGACAAATAATATAACCCGAATGTCACAGAACATCTGAGTAGAAATCCGAATATGGACCTGAGTGACAGCCTGCATAGAAAAGGTGGACATGCATTTTTTGCGGAACCATGTCGAGAAGGTGGACATGCAAAACTGAAATTCAAAAAATGTAGTTTGCTTCAGACCCAAATGAAAGCCTTGCCATGTCATCCAGCTGAAGACAATTGTGAACAAATAGCAGCAAACACCTTGTTCCTCAAGACGCAGGCATCCCTGGCATCGCTTTGGAATTTCAGAAGGTTGTTTTGCAAGTGAGCAGGAACACTCGCACTTTCCTGTCCCACACTTTCCCGGTGATTGACTTGGGCGCGCGCGCGCAGCATCAATTATCGATCCTCTCGCATTGGCCTTTGCATGCCACGGTATGTGATACATAGTCTATGCAACATATATTCTGACATCCCACGCTTTGCAGTTCGATTTGGTACAATGTGTCATTGCAGAGAGTTGCAGGCGACCGCTGAGGCTGCGCAGGCTGCGCAGCTGGCCGCGCAAGGTCGGGAGCCGAACGAATTCCGAACGATGTACGCTTTTCATGCCTCAAATGTGCGGTGACTGATTGCGGGCATGTAGCGGATTGTAGCAAACTGTGTGCCCGCATTCTGTGCATTCTAATCCTGTTGAAGGTCGGGCAGATGGGGCCGAGCCGGAAACAAAGGCACCAGAGGCGCCTGATGTGTCGCAGCCTACCTCCGATTTGCGGATTCACGCTGCAAGCATTCAAGTGAAGATCGTGGAAGAGCAGGCAGCTAAGGGCTCTTGCCGTGAACTGTTTTTTAACGCGACGACTTGCCTCGTGGTGTTGGCAGCTCCTTAGTTCAGACAACACCACAAGGTAGCTACTGGCTGCTTCATCTGAACCGGGAGTTTTATCCGTAACCTTGGGGATGATTTGGCTTTGACCTTGAAGGTGATCCAGGAGCGTCCAGAGCCACCACAGCTTACTGTGTCGCAGGCCCTGGCTCTTCAGTATCTTGGCACTTTCAACCCATTTTGATCCAAAGCCTGTGCTGTGCACAGCTAACCTTGGCAATTGGCGGAATTGGTGGTGCTGAGGCATGAGCTGCTGCAAGGCTTCTCTGATGCAGGCTTTCAGAAGAAGCGCGAGGACCTCATCTCCAGCACGTTCAGCACACAGAAGTTCCTAGGGCCCACGGCCAGCCTCTGGACAGATTCGCAGATGCCAAAGAGAAGCGGAGACCAAGCCAGCTCTTGTGCCTAGCCAGGCTGAGTAAAAGACAACTCAACTTTTTTGGACAAGCAGAATCCTCAGTCCTAGAAAATTGAGGACAGACAACTGATGCAGAAAGCAGTGTAGAGCAAAAAAGTTTGAATTCACAAAAAGGGCTCTAGCTTTCATCGCAAGTTCTCATTCCATGAGTAGTTTGGTGGCAGGTTTTGTTCTGTTTCGTGAAGGGGATGCTGGGGTGTTTGAAGGAGCTCATCTCGTCACTTCGGCGTCTGGCTCAGACATCGCAGCAGATCTCCGCGCAAGCACCCCGAGGATCAGAAGGACGAGCCACCATGGAATAGGACAATGGCATTAGGCTTTGGGCCACTGACGCCTTTGCTGCATCGCTTCTGAGGCAGAAGGATCCTGTACGTTTTAATGCAGAGCGCCAGAAGCTTTTTCTTACTGTTCAGAGCCTTGTTTGCCATGGAGAACCTCGCCGGGGATGCACATGTAGGAAGGCTACAGAGGGTGCTGCAAGCTGAGGATCATGGTGCTGCCGAGATACGGCTTTGAAGGAAGCGCACAGGTGCATTGTGAGAAGCCGTCAGAAAGGATGCACATGGCGTACAGTGGTTTTTGCATTTTCACGTTGTGTCTGATTTGACTCCCTACTTGAAGGGCGTCCTGGAGATGCAGCGGCGGCTTGACCGCCCTGAAGTTGCAGACAATGCCGAGATCCAACGGCAGGTGGAAGTGAGAAACAAGCAGTTCTTGATTCTTGATCAGGACGCGCACGCGTTGACCTGATGATGTACCATGTCCTGACAAGAAGCGCTAAGTCTCCTGATCCTTCTCGTGTCGTATTGAACTAGGCTCTTCACGATGATGCTAGGTCCGTAGCATGCAGGATGATGCTCAAAGCTTGTGTGGCTACAGGCAGCCAAGCTGAATGACCTTCTGTACGGAGAGCCAGAAGCGCCGACGCCACAGGCCCGCGGAAGGCGGGCGTCCGAGGCGCTAGAAGCGAACGAGATTTGACAGGCGCAGAAAGCTTTGGGAGCAGCGCCTTTGGGGGCTGCGCAAATAAAGCCAGGCAGAGAGGAGGCGGGATGATTTGGTCACCACTCAAGGGCAATTAAGTTCTCCCCAGGTCCGTACTCCAGCTCAGATGTCTTCGACGCTCAAGGCTAGAATGCTCTCACATCTATTCATGAGCTGCTTTGTGCTGCAGTCCTTGGTGCTGGTTTCGCGGCCGGCCGCTGAGTTAGAGGCGTGATGCGTGGGTCTGACGGCTATCGTGCGCGTCCGCTCTGGTTTGGTTTCTTCAGGCCGCCCAGCCAGTCTGGAAGCGAGAATGGGATGACGCTTGACTTCAAACGGACTTGTTGCTGTCGCTGAAGAGACTCTGAAGTCCTGTCAACGCATATCAGCGCTTGGCAAACATGTTCCAACATTTCAGCAAGTGGAGCAAGAATGGTGCATACGCAGCTACTACGGTTGCAACCAAAAGTTACCCCAGGGCTGCCAGCTATGGGATTGTGAACTGCAAAAAGCGTTCGTGGCTGAGAGACGTCAGTGTGGAATTGAGCCAAGAGTGCTTGAGGGGGGGGGGGGGCAGGGCGGTCATAAAATTTGTCAGGTCCGAGAGCGACAAATTTGGCTTCTCGCACTGCAGCGGCAAGACTGAGTACTTCAAGGTATGCCGCATATGCTGTTTGTCGAATGTTATCAGTTGTACAATGTTGAGGCACTTGGCATTTCAGAGGGCAGCACAGATGTGAAAGGTCCTGAGGCAAGGTGTTGTGCAATTGGGGGCGCTTGCCAAAAGCACGTTTGTTCACACTTTCTTCATCCAATGAGGTGCTGTTCATCCGCAAGGTTGCGGGCGAAGGGCTCCTGTTTTCCTGGAACGAGGTTTCTGCGGAAGATTGTTTGTTGTTTCATGTGGATGCCTTGGGTCTGTTGTGAGATAAAGATGGTTTTCGTCCTTGCAGGCCCATCCTGATGCAGTTGTTCAGCCAGGCGGTCTCAAGCACGTGTGCACATCGATGATAAGCCCACATTGCCAGGTGATCGCATCAACAAAGTGAATGGCGAAAGCACCCATGATAGAATGGCTCGGGACTGTCACCGCTTGCAACGTCGGACGTGACATGACTAGACGAGACCAGACCTTGCCAAAAGGAGTTGCGGAAGCTCGCGGCCCAGCTTGTCGACAGTGGATAGCAAGCATGCTGTAGTTTGTTTAATGCAGACAGCACAAAGCATAATTTTGCTGAAGGCACACCATTGCATTTTTTTGGGAATATGCGGATGTGTTGGCTTGAAGGCATGCGATTTGCCAGGAGCAAGGCTTTCATAGAGATTCTGCGTTATCCAGACGAGCGCCGCGCTTGGCATGAAGTTCCAGGTACTGCGCCCTCATCATGGTTGGGAAGTTTGAACCTAAGGTTTGAGGTGTCACTTTCCAAGAAAGCGGATGCCGGAAACAAAAAATTGGGCTTCAAGTGCCGTACCTGGTTTTTCAAACGAGTGGTGCTGCCCAATCCATTCACATGCCTTCTTCAGGTTTGAGAAACCAGGCAACGAGAAGGCGCGCGAACTCAAAATCACGGAGGCTGGTTTCGGCTAAGCTGCAGCTTCGCAAGATGATTTCCAAAACAGAGCACGTTTTTTTTCCATGACCCCACGTGTTGAAGCTAGTAGAACTGACAACAAAGATTGTACAAATCAACAACAGTCAAAAATGTTTTGACCATGTATATTGTTCGCTCCGAATCAAAAGAGAGGCAAACTGCTCACAACGCGACTTCCCTGTGCAAGCGTTCATGCCACTGCCAGCTAAGTGCCAATCAGGTGGGCCAAGAAGGCTACTTGCCTGAGAAGAACCTTCAAATGGCAGTCTTCTCAGACGCATTGTGCTGCACCGATGTTCTACATTCTCTCTTGCATCATCATTAGTCGACCAGCTCTGCAGCAACCAGAATTCAGCATTCCTTTTTTGCGTGGCAGAAGTGCTCTCATGTGGGTTTTCACATGCTGGTCCCGAGCCTGAACCAGGCTTGCATCAGCTCATAATCTTGTTAGTTCCGCAGGCTGCCGAGGGACGATTCCACTATGTTGTCACGCTGGGGATGCGTGTCATACGGGCTGAGACCTGAGCTTGCTGCTGCCGACCGTTGCGTTGCATTGAATGAAGAACGTGAAGCCACCCTGCTGGGCTCATCAATGGCGCGTTGACTGTGGTTGATGACACTGCTAGAATTGTGCTATGGGATCCATGGCCAAGGTAAACTCAGTGGAGGGTGATGCGCAGCTCATGAGGGAGGAGTTAAAGAACTCGCAGGATGTGACTATCCGTGTGCGAAGAGCGGAGGTGCTTGGGTTATTCCAGACAATCCTTGACAAGTCTTTCAAGTTTCATGACCTGAGATTCTTGAGATGTGGCGCTTCGCTGGGACTGGGACAGGTCTATGCCCTCCAGAAAGCTAGAATGGTGAAGCAGGTGGGAACATTGCTCCCATTCAGTGTACTTCAATGTTTGTAACAGGCCAGACATGTAGGATGAGCACCTGGGCTGCTTGATTACAGGCACAAATACTGGCTTCTCTGTCAAATTTGTCCTCGACGCTGAGGATGAGCAGCAGCAACAACCTACTAGGAGTGTAGAGGTGTGAAGCGGGTTCAAAGAAGCAGCTAATATACTGCCAACAAAAACCAAAGGAGCACGTGAAGTGTCACCCTGCCAGCAAATGCCAATGCGTTTCACATACCGTGCAGTCCGTTTCAGCAGGTGGTGCTGAGATTACAAGACAATTTAGAGCGTGAGCCTCCGTTTGCTGCTGGATGTTTTGAACATGAAGCACGCAATCATGAACCTGAATTCTCCGTACTTTTCTGTCCTGGTACAAGTTGGTGTGAAAACAATGTTTGTTGATGGTTCGTTCAATGAGGGTGAAGAGGCCTTCTGGCATAGGGTTGAAGACTAAACTCCAAGCCATGTGGCTAGTTTGTGGCCTGCGTAGCTCGAGAGCAGCAGCAGCAAAATTCATGCTGCAACAGGCTGGAACCGGCCACAATCACTCTTGCTTACGGAGTACAGTAACTGACAAGCACTAGAATACTGCTTATTATTGATTAACAGACAACTTTAGCCCGAGTCAAACGCCATGCAAAAATGATGAACGCTTAGCACGACCACTGCTGTCAGAGTAACTTGTAGAGAGGGTAAATCACAAAGACAGGTTCACATGTGGTGGGGCGGTTTCCGCTGCTACAGAAGCCGAAGGCTTGCTGTGCCAGCGTAGCATCAGACAAGAGACTTTGTCACTCCAAAGCCAATGTGATCAGTGACTAGTGTAGATGCAGAAGAGAAAAAGCAGTGGCAGATTGAGAGATGTTTGGGGATGTGCCTGGGGAACTGGAACATGTTGGAAGTTTCCATGTGCTTGAATGATTTAATTTCGATCAACGAAGCTCCCTGGCGCGGCCTTGGCTCGGTCATCGTCATAGGATCTCCGCTGCAAGGCCACGTTCCGTGGCGCGGAGTTCCATCTCTAATGCAGAGGCTGGGCACGAAGTTGAATTGCGCAGAGTTTTGCTGCCGATGATCTCAGGAAAACTAGCGGAGCTAAGCTTGAGTTGCTTGTTGCTTCAGCAGTAATAGAGAGGTTTAGGCTGAAAGGGGATTTCCCAAAATTCACTATCGTATGGGTTCTTTCCCTGTAAGAATTTCCCTCCCATTTTGGGATCAGTGATTTAGGCCAACTCATCGTTAACTAATACTCAATATGGCAGGGGACCTACCCATTTTGCGCATACATCCGCTCATGGGTTAGTTGACCTACTTACGTTTACTTTAATCATGACATCAGCACGACTTCAGTTGATGTTTGGTCATTGCGTCACCCATCCCTCCTCCTTTTGTAGTGTCACTACCCCAGCATGGTCATGGCTCCAATAGCATCATCCGTAGTGGTTGCATCGACCCTGCCTCCTGCCTGCGTAGTCATGGTGCGATTAGCGTCATGCGTGGTGGTTCCGTTCATCTTTTCTTATTGTGCACGTCCAGGTAGATTGTGGAAGCAGCTGCGGGGCTGCCCACTGCGATACCGGCGCTTCCAGACTCCAGAGTGTGGGCTCTGGGCGCGCGAGCCTCAGATACATGCAGAGCGCCTAGATGCAGCCAGAACCTCTCTGCCATCTTTGCCGAGACTTGAGTGTCTGTGGCACTCACTGTAGGCTGCTGGGGTCGGCGGGGGTCGGCTGACGTCTCCCGCGCTTTCAAATGAAAGCCATGCAATGCCATGCCTATCGTTTTGTCATTTGCTATTGTTGGCTGTCCGTTTATTAGCCGGAAAGATTTTCAGGTGCCCTGATTATTAGTTCGAGTCGTGTGCGTTTGAGGCATGGCTAGGGCCTTGCTTGTGGTGCCGCTACTGCTGGCTGCGGAGGCCAAGCCGAAGGTGCGAGACAGGGGAGGGGCTCATGAATGTGAATAGTGCGACAGGCACAGGCCAGCAAGGCTTTTCCGAATCTCAGCCCGCAAGCTGTCAGGTAAAAGTTCAGACTTGCTAACATTGGATTGTGCAAGCGAGACTGCAGAGTTCTTCGCCAAAGTTCAAAGACGTAACTTTCCATTGCTGCTTGGGCAACGCTTGGGCTCTTGCCGCTCGCCAGGCGTTGGCTCCAGATCTAGCAATCGCAGAGGCTTGAGGGAGAGAGCATCATGTCTTTACCATTGCTCAGACCTCTTCTGTTGAGCCAGTTTTATTGTAACAAGCAACCAATGTCATGGCCAGACCTCTCCCTGACTCAATTTCGGCACCCCAACCTGAACCCCTACTGGATGTGTAATGTCAGTTATACAACCTTGAAGTAGAAAGCTTTCTCATGATTCTTTCGAGTTATGACCCTATTGATGTGGGCTCCGCAGAAGAGCCTCCTTCCCAGGCAGAAAGCATGCGCATGAGCACATGACAGGGGATCCAAATTGAGCAACGCAAAAGCCAGCAAGCAAGGCTTTGTAAGCCAGGCTCGGCTAGCGGAGGTGCCGCTTCTTCGCAAAAATCACCCTTCTAATGCTCAAAGATTTGTTTTTTTCACGGCTTTTTTCACGGGACTTGCAGCTATCTTTAGCTATCTTTGTAAAGCCTTGCCAGAAGGTTGCGTCGTTGAGCATTTTCAGCTTTGCTGCCGTTTTCTTGAGGCTGACATCCTGATCAACGGCAGTCAGCCAGAGGACAGTCATCACTTGTGTATGAGGTCGTCAACGCAGCAATTTGCACATGACTATTTCCTGCTGACGGCAATTTTGGATGATCAGCCTTTTTGAGGAATCGCGTTCGCCCAAAATTGGGCCAGTAGTGAAGGCGCTTTTCAGGGTGGCATGAGTGAACCAACGAAAGTTGCGCGCACGTGTCGCGCAATGTAGCACGGTATTCTGACAGTAGCCCCACCGAAGCATTCATTGATCCCTTTCCTGCCAGAACGCAAGCAAGCCGGACTCTTAACTTTTTGGGTGTGTTGGCTAAGTGGACATGTGCATGTCGTGCGATCATGCGGCATTTGATGACTCAGTAGCCGACGCCAGTGGTGTTGTCAGCAAAGGCTTGGTGAATTCGGGTATGCTAAGCACCCGAAGCATCCGCCGCTTCCCTGCATTGATGGACAAACATAGCGTCATAATTTCCTTTCGTTGTTTGAAGCCCGCTGAGTGTGGCTCGATTTTTCGAGCTTCGCAAAACCCTGCGAGCTGTTGCCGAGGCTAGCCTGGAGTGACTTGAGGGCCATCATCAAAGGAAGGAAGTGCTCCACAGAGCAGGTGCTGCAGGGCGGTGGGCAGACATGCATGAGGACGCTAATTTGACTTGATTCGCCACCACAAGGCAGATGCGCAGTGTGGGGACCTGGTTTGTCGCAAGGCCGTGTGAGACTTTGTAACAGTTTGTGCTGGACATAGCTGGAGAGGTGATGTGCAAGCACTTTGCTTGTTTGTCGTTGCGCCAGGGGCTTTGTGCGCATTGCACAGAAGACTCAGAATGCCCGTCGCTTCACCACTGCGTTGAGAGCTTGCCGCTCGACTGCGCCACTTTTGTTGTTGAGTCCGTGATAGCTATAAGAACTTCGAGTCAATTTTTGGTCCAGTCGAGTGTTGCTTGCGTGCAGGAGCGGTGGAAAGACCTGTCGCGAGACTGGCCGAAAGGCAATTGCATTGACGCTGCAAATGTGCTTTTCTCATCTTTTCTCATGGCAGGTTCATGCAGCATCAGAACCCTCATTACAGACATCCACAGATTCAGGAAACGCCAGACAGTAGCCTTTGTCGCTGGCGCTGCTGTTGCAGCCCAAAGCTGCCAGCTGTTCACCTTGGGGGCGTCCACACGACTAGTTTAACCTGTCAAGGTTTGTTGTCTTTGAATTCTACATGGAAGAATAACAGGCAGTACTGTACACTCCAGATCACTCCAGCAGAACACCGAAGCCTGGGAAGTCGGGTTTATATAGGTCAGGGGTCACGCCCGGTGTAGTTGCAAGGTCTGGTGTGTTGGACGTGGATTGGATGCAGTTGTGGCGTGTTTGAGCTGAGCCGTCAAAGGGGGGTTGTCCGAAAACCCCTTGTTTACGATCTATACAAATAAACGAAAACCGAGTATAACATAATGTGTCAAAAACCCTGCGCGCGCAAGCTCAGCGCAAGGTTGGTGCAAGCCTTTGATTCACGAACTATGGCTGAACGCAAGCCATGTTGTCAACAGCGAAAATTCAAAATTGCACGGCGAATCCGCGCAAGCTTCGCGCAAGCGCCGCGCAAGCTCCGCGCAAGCGCGCATAGCTGTTGTTAA